GGCTAGTACGTTTGAAAAATACAAATGGAAAAATTACTTGTCGATACAATATCATCCGATCAACAACAACAACAACAACAACAGCAACAAGAGCAGTCATCATCAATACGGGATAGTAGTAGTGGTAGTAGTAGTAGTGGTGCAAGTTCAAATATAAGTACACCTTCAAATTCACCTGTCACTGCAATAGCAAATACAACTGGAAGTGATTCATTTGGTTTAAAAACAACAAAAGAAAAGTTGAAAATTATTGGCTTACCATCAAATTTTCGTAAATTACGGATGAAATTTTCACGGCACAGAAAAGAAGCCATTGGTACTAAAGAGGAAAATACACAATTTGAAAAAGTTTGTGATTCATAATTTCTTTATTTAGCATTATTTGTCAAAGTCCTAATTATCACATTGTTTTGCTTAATTTATTTACCAAGATATTATTATAATATTACTTCATATTTATTGATTGATTTGTTATTTTTTTTTTAATCTTTTTATTAATTTAAATTAGAAGTTTATTTTATTTTTTTATAAGAGAAGTTCGAAATAAATAGAAAAAAATTTTTGAATAATTTAATTATGCTTAGAAGAAATAAAATAAATACAATTTAGTTCACTCTAATAAACAAAATTTTATGAAAAAAAAAGAAAAAAAAATTCTGATATTGGAAAAAATTCAAATGAGTATAATTTAAAATTCATTTATTATTAATTTTTTCATAAAAACATCACATTTTTGCAATATTTTGCAAATTAAATTATTATAATTATTATATTTATCATATTTACGTTATATTCACGGCTTATAAGCAAATAAATAGGTTAATTAGTTCGTGTCACACATTAGTAATTAGTGAAATACATGTGAAAATTAATTTCGCGAAAGTTTCATTTGAAAATATCATAATTGTATCACAACTACCAGTGCTTTAACATTTAATAATAAGAAATGGATTTTAAATTTATTTTTTTCCATTGCGGTTGGATTTGTTTTCGATGGTATTCTATGCAAATTACATTTCTTTTTTTTCCTTCAAAGATAATTTTATGAATTTAAATTATGAAAAAGTGCATATTTTGAAGACATTATCATTTCGATATTTGAATTCAAATTTAAATGAATAATAAATTATACGGCATAACTATAATTATTTTATGCGCGAAGAAATGAATCAGCAGATAATTGAAAATTTTTCATTCTATTTTTTTGCGACTTCAAAGTACTTGTATAATTAATAATTTAATTGCAATCATAATTAAGTCATTCATTATAATCAGTGATTTGTACATAAAGAAAGTCTTAAGCCAGTAGTATTTGCAAAAATTCCTCCCTTAATTACAGGTAGCTGTACAACAGAGACCAGCACGAAGTAAGAAGAAGAAACAAAATGTCCTGAAATGGAAAGAAGGTGCAAAACCGGGTTCAGTCTCGGCTGAAGAAAGCAAGGAAAAGGTATAATTTTGATTTTCTGTTGAAGAATTTTAATTATTACTTACAGACATATAGCGCTGGATAATTTCGAATTAATTAGGATAAAATTTGATATTTACTGCGACAAAAATTTGGTTTTTTTAGCAATTAATCATAATACTTTTCAATTTTCACTTTTCCATGTATCCTTTTAACAGTGGCCATGTACAATGTAATAACGGATCAGAACCTTTAATGAAAAAATTAATAATGATAATAGCAATGTTAATAATGATAGTAATAATTAATAATAATAATAATAATAATAATAATAATAATAATAATAATAATAATAATAATAAATAATAATAATAAATAATAATAATAATAATAATAATAATAATAATAATAATAATAATAATAATAATAATAATAATAATAATAATAATAAT